TTAGTATGAATAACCTTAATCAATAACTATTGATCATTAAAAGGGGACTAAATACATAACTTAATTCATTAATATTTCATAATTAAAATTGCTACTTAGGATTCAACTTTAGGATGAAAAATAATAGAATTAGCATTAAAAATGATTTAATTAGTATTCAAATGATGGGATACAAAGCTGTCCAAATTGAACGATGAAAAAACTTAAGAGGGAAAATTAGCATTCAAAATTTTTGAGGAGGGTGTTTTTAACGACCCGGCCGGTCGTTTCATGAGTTTCAGTCCCGTTTTCCATTCCTGCTTTTTTATGTGTTGTTCAGCTGTATTTCATCATATTGTGTTGGTTGTGTTGTGTTCGGAGTGGTCTTAGAGTGGAATGAGACACTTAGTCTCTAATTTAGGAGTTTAAGTTGGAAAAGTCAACCGGATGTTGACTTATGAGTAGAAGGTCTCGGATGTGAATTATGATGGTTCGGATAGCTTCGTTAGGTGATTTTGGACATGGGAGCGTGTTCGGAATGTAATTTGGAGGTCCGTGGTAGATTTAGGCTTGAATTGGCGAAATTGGAAATTTGGAGCTTTCCGATCGGCAGCGAAAATCTTGATATCGGGGTCGGAATGGAATTTCGGAAATTGGAGTAGGTCCGTGGTGTCATTTGTGACGTGTGTGCAAAATTTCAGGTCATTCGGATGAGGTTTGATAGGTTTTTACACTGTTTGCGTAATTCGGAAGTTTTGAAATCCTTAGGCTTGAATCTGAGGGTGTTTTGATGTTGTTTTGAGTGTTCCGAAGGTTGGTGTAAGTTTGAATGATGATATGTGACTTGTTGGTATGTTTGGTTGAGGTCCCGAGGGCCTCGGGTTGATTTCGGGAGGTTGACGGATCAAGGATTGGATTTGAGGAAGTGCTGAAGAATTCCTTCAGCTGTCATAACCACACCTGCGGAGTGGGAACCGCAGGTGCGACGTCCCGCAGGCGCGGGTAATGGACCGCATGTGCGTAAATCGCTGGGCAGAAAGTATAAAAAGCCATCTTCGCGAATTTCAGTCTTTTATCCACCATTTTTTAATGAGTTGGAGCTTGGGAGTTGTGGTTTGAAGGGGAAAATCAAGTGTTTTCAGTGAGGTAAGCTACTTGGGCCTTGTATCTTATGTTTATGGCAATTATTCCATTGTTTAATCATGGTTTTAGTAAGAAAATTAAGGAAGATATTGAGAGATTAGGGCTTAAAATTGGAGAGTTCAATTGGGGATTTGAGGGGCCATTTGAGGTCTGATTTTGATGATTTTGGTATGTATAGACTCGGGAGAGGATAAGAATTTTAGTGTTGTAATTTTTATCGAATTCCGAGATGTGGGCCCGGGGGTTCAAGTTTGGCCAATTTCGGAAATTTTGATTAAATTTGATAATTTTCGCATGGGTTTTGTTCCTTTGGCATGTATTGATGATATGATTCTGATTTTAGATAGATTCTAATCTTGTCAAGTCTTTCACTTCTATAATAGTTGCAACTAGTCACATTTTGTTAGTCTAATCCTCTAAATTTAAAGCAAGTAACAATAAAATAAAGCATTTAACAATGACAATTATAATACCACGCGTTTAAACTCATTACAAAATAAAGTCAATAAATTCAAAACAAATCTATCTCAAATCAAATTAAATAAGTTCCAAACTTAAATCATCTCAAACTAAACAGTCAAGTCTTCCACTTTCAGTTTGCTTCATTGTTTAGACCATGCAAGCTACTCCGTGGTGGTATTGTTGCATCATCTTGCTGTAATTAGAGTAAAGAAGACAAATAAGTATAAGCAATGTATTTATGTAACAACAACAACAACAACATACCCAGTAAAATCCCACTAGTGGGAATGTATTTACGTAAAAAAAATAATTAATCAAATTTGTTCTACTTTACCTCAATTCCTTCCGCTAGTCGAGGAGTTCCACCACCTCTACCACGGCCTCTACCACCACCTCTACTATGGCCTCTACTACCACCTCTACCCCTCTTATTACCTCTAACTCCACTTCCACCACCCGTTTGTGAAAAATTCTAAAGAATGAATCAATTCGACCTCTATATCTATTCAACCTTGGATGTCCCAGAGAAGCTACGTATCTAGGATCTCTTATATTTCTTCCTTCACCCTCAACCCCACCCTCACCCACACCATCATGTATATCTTCCAAATCCCAATTTGGAACTATCATATCATCATCCCAATTCAAAAGGTCATGCTCCAATCTGTTCAAATCAAACTTAATATATTGTCTCATCACTTCGGTGTCCAATGCAATATCACAAACCCGTTCAAAATTGTCACGACCCAAAATCTACTAAGGGTCGTGATGGCGCCGGACACCACTGTCAGGCAAGCCAACACTATTTAACTAGAGATTTCTCGTTTTAAATATTTCAGAAATCACTTCTTTTATACATTTAAACAATAAATAATAAGTTCCACTGAATGAATACTAATGTCTTTAACAATTTCAAAATACTGAATAATCCCATAGACATCCCAGAACCTGGCGTCACAAGTGCATGAGCTATCTCTAGGAAATAATATAATACAACAACCGCCCGGAATACAAATAGGACAGAAAGTAAATATGGAAATTTGAAAGAGACTCTGCTTGCTGCGGGTCGTCTCGAGAAGTGCAGCTCACCTAAGTCTCCGTATCAACCATGCTGCTACGCCCACTAGGCCGCTAGAGATGCATGTGCCTGTGCAACAAAAATGCACAGCAAGTGTAGCGTGAGTATGAAAACAACGTGTACTCAGTAAGTATCCTGCCTAATCTCGAGAAAGTAGAGATGAGAGGTCGACTTCGACACTTACTGGTTGAAATGAGCTAAACCCCCCTTTTAAACAACCTTACTGGTTCCAGCATTTCCACACCTGCGGTCACTTGACCGCTTCTGCGGTCCCGCAGGTGCGAGCTATCATCCGCATCTGCGGTCCTCCTCCAAGCCTCAGCTTCCGCATCTGCGCTTCTCCTTCCGCAGGTGTGGTCCCACATCTGCGACATATCGACCACATCTGCGGTCCCAGCCTGGCCGGCCCATTTTCGCTTCTGCGACCCAAGGGCCGCTTCTGCGGCTCTGCACCTGCGGCCCAAGCCTCGTAGGTGCGGTTACACCAAAAGGCAGTTGATCACTGCTTCTTCAAATTCTAAAATTGATCCGTTAACCACCCGGAATCCACCCGGGGCCCCCGGGACCCCGCCCGTTCACACCAACCAGTCCCAAAACACATTACGGACTTGCTCGAGGCCTCAAATCATATCAAACAACGCTAAAATCATGAATCGACCTCCAATCCAAGCTTAATGAACTTTAGAATTCCAAACTTTCACATTCGATGCCGAAACCTATCAAATCACGTCCGATCGACCTCAAATTTTGCACACAAGTCATATTCCCGGAATCGACATTACGGACCTACTCCAACTTCCGGAATCGAAATCCGACCCCGATATCAAAAAGTCCACTCCCGGTCAAACTTCTAAAAAACCTTCAAATTTCTATCTTTAGCCAAATGGCTCCAAAATGACCCACGGACCTCCGAATTCACTTTCGATCGTGCTCCCAACACCAGAATCATAATACGTAGCTATTCCTAGACTCAAATTCCCAAACGGACATTGATAACACTGAAATGCACTTCAACCCAAACTTATGAAATTCCTCCAAAAATGCTAACTTCCATAATAGGTGCCGAAACGCTCCCGGGTCTTCCGAAACCCGATCCGGATATACGCCCAAGTCCGAAATCATCATATGAACCTGCTGGAACCTTCGAATCCTGATTTCGAGGTCGTTTACTCAAAAATCCAATCTTAGTCAGTTCTTTCAACTTAAGGCTTCCGAAATGAGAATTCTCTTTCCAAATCAACTCCGAACTTTCCGGAATTCAATTTCGACCATGCGTACAAGTCATAATACCTGAAATGAAGCTATTCATGGCCTCAAACTGTTGAACGACGCGCTAGAGCTCAAAACAACCGATCGGGTCGTTACAAAAATGCTACAAGAGTTCCGTGTACATCATGTATTCAGAAGTCATACGTAGGTAACCTCCTAGAAAGAAACGCTTCAAGTGTGGACGAATAACATCTCTTCTCTACATTTTCAGTATATACCTCTCATTAACGTTTTCAATCCTCTTATGAGACAACATGTTAAGTATATGGCAGCATAGAATACCTCTTGTTTCAAACCACCTACAGCTGCAGCTTAGATATTTGCCAATAGGTGTATATTCAATCGTGAAGACAAATGGATCTCTAGTGTTAAAACTCCTAAGCGAATAATCTGTTATAAATATTTCTCCACTACAAGGTTTACTTGATGATCTTCAGGGGTACTGATTTCACAATGGTACATTTCCTTAACTATACTTGAAAAAATTCAAACACTTCACGAGTATAACATGCTTGAAGTTTTTCCTCCCATGCGAATTTATACAAATATTTTGGTTCAAAGAACCTTGACCTATATTCAGCTTCCAATTCTTTCTTGAATTTAGCTCTTATGGCTCACTCATATTGCTAAACTGCTTCAAAGTGCTTTGGCGGGTGATAAATCCATCAAAGAAAGCATGCATTCCTTCACTTATTTGTGTGGACAACATCCCAACCCAAAAGTGGTCATTTAGGTATACAGGAACCCATTTTTCCTTCTCCAAATAAAGCTTATAAAATCAATCCCTTCCATCTAAGTTATATTTTGCAATATAATCAAACCATCTTCTCTCAAGCTCAGCAAAGGACTAAAGCCTTAAATTCTGCCTTTGCAATATTACCATCAAGAACTCCGCTTAATTTCATAGGCAACTTTGCGAATATGTGCCATATACAATATCTAAGTACCGTATTTGGCATCAATGAATTGATGACAGCCTTAATATTGTCACATTGGTCAGTCATGATAGCTAATGGATGAACATTGCTTAGAGCCCCAAGCCATGTGGAGAGCACCATTTTGTAACTTGTTATATCCTCACTAGACATAAGAGTGCATCCCAAAAGTATGTGACACCAACAAATGAAGCAAATGGCATATTGTATCGATTCACAAGGTATGTGGTATCAAGGCATATTACATCATGGAACTCCTCATATGCAACCTTAGAGTGTGAATGAACCCATACGATATTACGAAGTCGACCAAAACTATCCACATCTATGGAGTAGTAAAATTCTCTATCTTTTTGTTTCATGTCACTGAAGAACTTGAGAAATAATTGTCTGTCCCCTTCTTGCAATTGAAGCTTTCTACTCTTCAAAATATAATTTCTGCAGTCCTTTGGTGTACAACCCAGATTTTCGGGGCCACCAGCAAGTACTTTAGCAACTCTTATATTTTTTGAGGGTCTTAAGCCTGCAATATCTTCGGCTACAAAAGCTCTCTTAAGAGACTTACTAAGCGACATGTGTCCAGCCATCAATCGCGATAGTGTTGGTTCCAATTGATGATTATGCTTTTTAACCAACTTTGAAACATGCCATGAACCATTATCCTCCAAAATTCTATTTATTCTAGCATGACAGTTCCTTCTCTTGGTAACATGCTTATTCATTGGTTTCCTAGACCTATCACAACTATATTGCACATACCTTACAATATCACCATCCTTTTTTTGTTTGATGTTCTTTTGACAATGCAATACCCTGATAATCTTGTATGTTCTTTGTAAAAGTCAAACATAATATCCTTATTACTGAATTGTATTTCAATAATTGGACCTATTATAAGATCTTCTTCATTAAACTCATCAGACATTTCCCTATCCTCTCCACCTTCTCCCTCTTCCTATAAATAATGGATGTCATCGTCATCATCATCGTCAACATGATCTTCTCCATCATTGAAGTTGTCGTCTGAATCAATGTTGACCCACTCATCTTCATTTATCAAACTGTCGTCTGAATTCAACCGTAAAGATATGTGTAATGCATTTCTTAGTTGCCCCGACCTTGTTTCTAGGTTGTTATTCAAGTTTAATGGCTCCTAACTAGTTTCTTGGTTAGCATTTATGTTTAGGTTAAGGGAAGGGTGGTGAATTATGTGTTTGATGAACAGGGGCGGAGGCACATTCATCCAAGCGGTGACATCCGACACCGCTTCGTCGACAAATTCTTAATTAATTTATATATGTGCATGCAAATCTATGTTATAAAAAAAATTAACATCTCTTAACAATAGAGCTTCGTTGGTGCATTGGTAATGCACTGAAGTGTTCCTTTGGAGGTCATAGGTTCGCTACCCGTTAAGTCGATCCATTTTTTTGAAATTTTGAGCCTTATTTTGGATAAATGTAGAAGCCAGAAAGGCTTGATCCTTCGACTCCTCAAATGGAGTTACTAAACCAGCAGACCTGCTTTCGTTGGGCACATGTTGCTGCCAATAAAAAAAGAAGTATTTAATAATATTCTTTATGCGTCTATTACGGATAAATTTTAAAAACTGAAAATTCGTCGATGAAGATTTATAATAGTATACTTAAATTGGGTTTCTTTAAAATATGATCTTGTTACAGTAATATATTCATTCATTTACTTATTTAAATGTCGATATCACTTACTAAAAGTCCTGCGTACGCCCATGAAAGCTCTCTTATCATATGTGTATAGTATAACAAGGTTACTCGAATTTATATATCGTTTAAATTTTCGAAAAACAATGTACATATACATACGAAGGCTTTTGATCTTCCCATCCATATACATTTTATTTTAAAAAAATAAAAATACATAACAACATACGTATACATACGAATGCTTTTGATCTTCCCATGAGAGAATGATGATTTTATGGGATCAATAATTTGAGATAATCAATAGTTATTAGTTCGTTTGGGAGGAAATATTTTGGAGGAAAATAATGGTTGTCAAGCCAAATATGAAATCAAAGATTTTAAGGGTATTTTACGGGTGTGGCCATCGTTGGGCCATTATGAGTGTAGCCAAATAGCAGCTCTTATTAAAATTATGGACTCGAATTCAACATTTGTTGAGATTTAAATAAAAGAGTTTTACATATAAATTTATATTCCTAACTGCAAATACATCACCAGCTTAAGATCTTGAATCTAGATAGGGAGAGTTTCAAACGGCAAAGATACATAAGTCATAAAATCTTTAAGAAGTCATAATTGAAAAGCTATTTGACTCTCAAATAGAAAAAGTGTCACATAGCGAGAGTTCCTAACTGCAAATAATTCATTAGTCAACATATGATGTAACAAAAAATAACTTATGTTTGTTTTCCATCTTAACGAATTTACACTATTTATTTTCATGGGTTTGAAAGGGAAACCCGATTAACATGCGAAAAAGATTAAAATAGTCATCTTATGCCGTCACCTCTTTTTTGTTGTACCATAGCCCTGCTCACTCTTTATTGTATCATGTTTGTTGTCTTCCTTTTGTATTTGTTGGTCCTCTTTCCATCTATACATGATGCAAGAAAGAATAAAGATGCTTGTAATTTGTAAATAAAGTTTTGATATGTGATGTACATGTAGTTCTCTTTTTTCCAATGTAGGCATTCTTTAAAAAGAAAATCAATGTAAGCATTCTTTCAAATTATTTAGAAATAAATTCTCTATGACAAGGATTTCAAACACATACAACCATTTTTGAATCTTAAGAGTCATAGTTTTGAGATATGTCTCTGAGAAAAATTTACCATATCAGTAAATGACGAGTCTAGCAGTAGGACGAGCAACTTATAGAAGAGATAAAACTTTAAAATGCACAAGGACTTTGATTTTGGACTTTTTGATCTAAATCTTTTAGTTTATATTCCCCTTTTTCTTTTTTCATATATATATATATACACACACACACTCTTTGTTTATTTAAATTTTCTCATTATTTCTTACTAATTGACATGTAAAATAAATTATAAAATGGATTAGATATGTAAATTGAAAGCACACAATATTAGAAGACACAACCTAAAATTTCCTAACCTGAAATCAATCAAATGCAATTTATCAAAATTCTATTCAAGTAAGGGCTGATCTGCAAAAGAAAAATCTTTTTCTTAGAACGTATTTTTATTTTAATTAGCTGGATATCATTATTATTTAAAACATAAATTAAGATTCTCGTTAATTATGATATCTTCAATATTTTTAACTATAAAATAATTAATACGATTTATAGTTCTTTTTATACAATCTCTAAGTATGTAATTATTAAAAAAATCAAAAAATTTGATAATTGATCTCGTCCAAGTTCACACCTCAATTCAAGGTTATGAAACGATCGATTGCAATAGTAATACCCAACAAAGAGTCGGGGTCGAATTTCACAGGGAGCTATACGTGGGATTTAAGAGTATAGATTGCAGTGTATGCGTATGAACTATCTCAATTTACACTTCCACAAATTGGTGTTTGTTCTATGTCTATTTTAATCTAAGATTGCAAGATTAAGAATTGAAACTAATAAATTGTTTTTGTTGTTGTTTTTCAAATGTTATAAAAGGTCTAGGGCTATGACCTTCAACTAGGTGTTTGCCTAACGGGTTGTAAACTTTAAAGTTTGTTTTATTGGTCGGTGTGTGTTATAGATACCAACACTCAGGTACCCACTCAATACCTCTCGGTCAGATAGTGATTTTGCCCAATTTGTCTCTCTCAAGTCCAAATGGGTATTGAACAAAACGGTTGATACAAAGCTCAAGTCGAGTTTTACTATCTCTAGGTTCAACCCTTTAATTGGGACTATCAATCTCTTAATTTACCCAATTCTTGTTAGCCAAGTTTTTCTAGACTAAGTCTTTCTTTCTCAAGTAGAGACTAAGTGAAATAGGCATTAATTAATGTTTGCAACCATTAATTCTATAATTAGAAGCAAGAACAATGCTAAATAATAAACACCCGACCATAACCAAGCAATAAATCAAACATCCATTAAGATTACACTCTAGGGTTGAGTCACAACCCTAGTGAAAACCTAGCCACTCATGCTTAAGATGGAAGAAATAGAAGAAAAAATGATAATTAAACCCATATTGATAATTAAAATGATGAAATCTATATTCAAAAAGCTCAAAATAGCAAAAACTACTAAAGATAGTAAAGAAAGCTGTCTACTGTAGCTGCTGATGTAACAACTTGACCTAAAAAAGTGAAACAATTCTATTTATACAGGGCTAGAATTTTCGGACAAAAATGCCCTTTCGGAGGTTCTGCGATCGCACAATTCCATGTGCGGTCCGCACTTTGCTTCAGCCTGACAGGATTGGAAACTTGCGGCCGCATAATTCTGAACTGCAGCCGCACTTCTCTCTTTCTACGATCTGTGCATTTCTGAGTGCGGGCGCACATTGCTCTTCTACGGACCGCACAAATGTGTTTGCGGCTGCATAGCTGTTCTTCTGCGGCAGCACAATAATTGTGTGGTCCGCACTTCTGTTGAACTTGAGAGGCAGGTTCTCTGAACTTTTGCTCTTGCCCAGTTTCTGCGGCCGCGCATTTCATGTGCGGATCGCACTTTGCACAGGTCTCTGATATGAATTTCTTCACAATCTACGGCAGTAGATGATAATCTGTTGTCCACACTTCTGAGCTTTTGTGCTGTTTTGTCCTTGAGTTCAAATCACTCCTTCTTGAGTTGGATTTCATCTTGGGGGCTTATTTTCCAATATTCCTGCAATTAAGTGTATTTCATCAGTTTTCGAGAACAAATCAAACTGTCACGACCCCAGTTCGCCCTCCGTGAACTGTCGCGACGGCACCTAGTCGCTACAACTAGGTAAGGCTAACAAATACGGGAAAAGAAACAATTGCGGAAAAGAAAGTAATTAAAAACCGAGATAACAAGGTTAAACAGTGTTCAGATGTCATCTGGCATATAGCAGTACAAGAATCTCAATCTAACACTCCCAAAATCCGGAACCCCATGAATCACAAGCTAAAAAGATTTCATAATAAGCTCTAACTCCATAAATGTCTACCAACAAGGGTAAAATACAGAAAGGGCTATACCAGTGCTAAGAATAGAAAGGGTCTCTTCGGTCTGCGGACGTGGCAGATATACCTCGGAGTCTCTACAAAGCGCCTCGCCTCAAGCATGATAAGACTGAGTGGAAGTACCTGGATCTGCACATGAAAAAAACATGCGCAGATTGGCATGAGTACACCACAGCGGTACTCAGTAAGTGCCAGGCCTAACCTCGGTCGGGTAGTGACGAGGGAAGTCAGGGCCCTACTGAGGTTAAATGAAATACAAGGTATGACAGTATAGAATAAGGCAGTATAGTAAGTGCAACAGTAAGAAGTAACACAGGATAGAAAGAACAACAACAGCTATAACAGAGACAAAATAATCACGGAAAAGGAATACAACTCACACAGAGATAACAACAGGGGATCTCCCAGGATACCGTCCTGTAGTTCCAAATATAAATAACCAGTGGATCTCCCGGGATACCGTCCCGTAGTCCAACTTAGTGCGCGGGGATCTACCGGAATCCCGATCCGTAGTCCCAAATGTAAATACTCAGTACTGGGGGAATCTACTGGGTGTAGTCCCGTAGTCTCAATGTAAAAGTGCAGGGGGATCT